ATGCTGCTGGGAACAGAGTCCCCAGCGTCCTGCCAGGATAATGCTCTCTCCTCTGATCCCCTGTGGACACCAGCACTCTGTATCCATAATGCAGCTTCAGGTCAGGAGGTTCTGGGCAGCTTCCCACCGATAAGGTTCCATCCATCCCCTATCTCCATCAGAGACCTATCAGAAGGAAAACAACAAGGGTGGTGGGATGTTAAAATTAGTCAGTGGCTGACTGTCACTCTTCTTTCCACATTTCTCCATATGTCTTTCATCCATTCACCTTGATTATCTTGAAGAACAATATTCCACTCGTGCCCAGTATTCTACCTGTGGGGGGAACTGTTTCTTTTTAAAACAAAAACTCTCAAAATGTTGTTATTGTATTTGATAGTTCTTTGCATATCTGCTGCTTCACTACAGTTCTCTGGGTTGCCGAGTTTGCTGCCAAATTGTGCTAACTTCTCCATACAGACATTCACGTTGTGCTTAATTGTTAGGCAAATTCAGTGTTTGAGGATAATTTGTATTATAAAGCAACTACAGTGTTCTTAGTCAGTCTAAAATTTTATTTTTTTAACATTTAAACCTCACATTTAAAAGCAAATGTGAGGTTTTAACTTTCCACACAAAATTCCCATTTGTGTACAACTCTAAGTATGCAGAGTTACTGTACAACAAAATCAACAAATATTTTCAAGTCTAAACCTTGACAGGTCTGGTGGTCCGTCAGACCACCAGACAGTCAGAGCCTGTATGTCAGGAAAGGATTGTATCGTGAAAAACCTGACGCACAGTGATTTTGTTTCTGCTGTCACATGCCTTAAACAAATCATGAGGTAATTAATAGGACTTTATATAATATAATTACAAGCTGAGGAAGTGATTCAGGTGTGTTAGACTAGGGCCACATCCAAAAGTTGCAGGACACTGACCCTCATGGACTGTGGTTTATTCGTCTGGTCTATCACACAAGAATCACAGTAAAATACATCAAGATTAGTGTTTTTAATGTGAGAATATGTGAAAAGCTTCTTAAAGGTTTGAGTATTTATCCAGAGTAGTTTTGCAGCTGTCAGTGGTTTGGTTCATTTTAACTGTGTTTACTGTCTCTGAGTGTGAACTGTGGCTGAACCTGGTCAAAGCCGCTTTTATGATGTGGACCATTTTCATTAAAAGGGCTTCCCCCTCCATCACTTGTAATTAAAAGACTGTGGGAGGCAAGTGGTACCACCTCATATACCAGACAAGACAGTACCTACCCTGGGGATTACCGCAATGTTTACAGTCCCACACACTTACCGCACAAGTGGAGTTTTAAGTGAGGTGACTTTAGAACACCGATGTGCGTATCTTTGACATGATCAGCACAGAAATCCCTAATTTTGCACCTATTATTTAAACTCTTCATTGTTCCAGTTGTCTGTTGATTCTTTTACTTTTTGAAAGGAAAACAATGTCCCACATATCCCACTCCTTTCAGATGTACAATACATGAAGCACACAAATAAGGCTCTTTTTTACATAAGGTTTGTATAAACCAACATCATTGTATAGATTATTGACAGGTTATAACTATGTAGTTCTCAGATTATGTAAACTACAAAATATTTAGTTGAAGAAGACCTAGAAAACCGATAGAACATAAGACATTGAACATTTTCATAGATGAATAATCTGCTGACTTGAGCACACTCAAGGTGATGTCACTGCTTAGGATGTGAAAAATTGAACATTAAGAAGTCTTGAAATATCAGAAAGAGCCTGAGATTCTAACTGACTTACAGCTTCCACCCTGATTACATGCTGGCGCATGAGAAGAAAGCACATTCGCTTTGCTTAGAGTTGAATTTCACATACTTACTGGCTCAGAGGTGTTAGGGAAAACATACTGCTGTTGCTGTTAGTATGGTGTGAAACTGACACGATAGAACAATCTGAGAATAAACAATGTCAGAGAATGAAGATTTTAGGCCATTAAACTGCAGAACAGTAAAACACTTAGTTTGCTCATAAGCACCTGTTCCTCACACCATTATTAGCCTGTATAGAGTACTCTGGACATTTCATATATGAATTATTAAATGAGTGGCATAAAACATTTGAATTAATTCAATTAAAAAATCCTTCATGTTGTTGAATATTGTCCTAACTCATGTCATAATCCAAGAATCTTCACAGAGTGGTTGTGTGAGTGACTGTTGGCTTTACAGCTCAACTTTCTACCTCTCTCTCATCACCCATTAAATGTTGAACAAATGGTCACACATAGAATTGCACCTGTTTCATAACAACAACTTATGATCATTTTTGCAACAGTCACTTGTTTTATTTGCTAGGGAGATAAGAAAACATTGAGCCTTCGAACACTCTCAGCTCACCAACAGGGAGTTGTCTTATCAAAGACCAGATCTAAATCTGTTGGAAATTGAAAAAGGATTTCTGAAAAGCTTCAATGCTACTTCAGTGGTAAAATGTAATATTTCTGATGCATATTTCCTATCACCCCCATGTCCAGGTATCATAGATGGTTGCTGAGTTTTGTTGTGTCTGAGCAGTAGTTTTTCTTTGCTGTAATCAGAACAGAGCCCCAAGATCTGTTTCAGAAAGGAGATTTGGACAACAGCTAATGACTTTTATATTAGCAAATTAAAACGCAAATTCCTGGTCAGAAATGCAGCCTGATCTTACTCAGTTCATGTGTCATACAGGATTAAGTGAATTCCACTGAAAAATTGTTTGCAAAAGCTGATAAGGAAGTGGCTCACTGTGCTTCATCACAACATCTGACCTGGGTCAGATGTTGTGAAAATAGTCAATTATTAGTTAGCACAGAGTGAATTTGGACATTTAAAGGTATGATTAACATCTGACTTGTGATGTTACTGCAGACCAGTAGGTGAACAGAATGCTGCTTTTTTTCTGTCATTTCTGTTGGATTGCCCCAAAACCAAGAAAAGTCCATTATGTGCTCTCTCCATGGCCTTGTGTAAAGGGTCTCAATGTTAGCGAGTGGGGCTTCCTGTCTCGGGGTGTGTGTTTAGGCAGGTCTGAGTAGATAATGGGCCTGGGAGGTTGGGCTGTGGTTGTGTAATGGAGACAGATAACCTAGCTTCACTGTAAACAGCTGTCCATACAGTGTGATTCATGGTATACACAAATGCAGACACACACACTCATCAAGGTGTTGCAGTCTGCTTGCCTATATTAAGTGAACATTGAGTCTTTACCTTGTCTGCGCCCTTTATTGTTTATTGCGTGGCTTCAGTCTGACTCAGGAACACTGTGAACAATTTAAAGGGGCAGCATCATAAAAAAATCAACTTTTGTGAGCTTTACATCATGTTATAATGATATTCCCACATCAAAAAATTACCTTGAATGTTGCTTTAATTCTTTCATTCATGTTTTAGAAATCCTTTATTCTTCATGGCAACTATTCAGCTGTGCAAAATGCTTTGCGGACGAAGCTTCTCCTTGGAGCTGCATTTTCCAAGCGTCTGCACTTCCACCTCACAGAGCAGCCCTCCCCACAGCTCCCCCACTTAGCTCCTTCAGACTAGCCAGCAGCAATTAGCAAACACCTACTGGACCTGCACATTTGGTGAGCTCATTATACAAGCTACTTCTCAGTCTAACATTGGTAAAAATGTTGTTAAAGGGTTAATAGAGGAGTGATGTAAGGAACTGTGTGCATTAATACACACTAGAACAGAACTTTTTGACTTGTTTGCTTGCAGCTTTGACATGACTGAACTTGGACTACAAAATCACTGTGAGGGGTGGAAAAAAGGTGAATTCACAAAGCTGATTAGCCGGAAGTCATGACCTAGTTCAGCTGTTCCACAGTAAATCCAGTGATGTGATAGCCAGGAAAATGTTATAGGCAATAAAGAAAAATGAACAGACTGAAAAAAATATAACCCAAATAGACAATAAAGATACCTACACAGCACCGGGAGAGAATACATTTACGTTTTTTTGCGCTCCTAGACACTCAAATTATACAAAAGAATGCATTTAAGGCCTGAAAGAGTGAATTTTGCATGATATGTTCCCTTTACCACCAAATCTTTATTTGATCTGAAATGTTCTCTCATGATAAATGTATTAATTAAGCCTAATTAAAACATGTATTTACAAAAACATGCTTGGTTTAGACAAAAATATTACTATATGGAGCATGTTCTTCTATTAGATAAACACAGTGCATATAAGGAGTGCTGTTATTACCTAGTAACTGATGGAGGAAGTAATGGTGTCAAGGTTCAGCTTTCATCTTGCATGGCGGTTTCTGCATCCTGTTGCAAACCTTAACCACAGATTTGAGTACTGTGAGATATCGACCTTTATTATCATCTATACTGTTATGATGATTTTGTTTTTTTTTTGTTTTTTATTTCAAATTGTTTCCTAAAATAAAAGATATTCACTCTACATAAGAAATAAATATTAAATACTTGAATCTTAGTCTTTTTCTGGTGTATAATACAATTGTTTGCTGTCTGTTTAAATGACTTGACTTGAGGAGGACTGTTTATCCCCATTTTGAGACCCTGAACATAATAATTTGTCAGTTCAACGGTCAGGTATGAAAACCTCGTATGAAAATGTGAACTTTAAAACCGTTGACTGCAGAAAACTTAAATAATGTGACTTTGAAGATCCTATTGATCCAGATAATCACTTCTACAACAACATCACCAACTGTGAGTGTTATGCCAATAAACAGCTTAACAGTGATGTGTCAATGGAACGGAGTCTTTGTAGGAACTTCACAAAAATCAAATAATATCTATGTCAGTTCAAAAAGTTGAATGTAATTACTGTATCTGAGACATGGTTTGACATAGATGAAGAGTGTGACATGGAACTGAAGATGTGTTCTATAGGCTCAAAAGAAAAGGAGGAATTGATTTATACACAGACAGTGGCCCAAAAAGTGGGTATGCAGTGTATGCAACCCATAGGGGCGCATACACTGAGCACTACAATTTGAATTGTAGTGCACTCGACAACAGGGAGCTAAAGATGGGGCGGCAGAAAAAAAAAACAAACTCCGGGGCACAAAACGGAAGAGGGGGAGGGATAAAGATGTTGGAGAGACGAAGAAAAGCTTTTCAAAGTGGTTGAAAGACAGTAGGTAAGTAATGTCAGTACAAAAGAGTTGTAAATATTCAGATTAACTTAAGCCTTAAGCTAGCCTAAAATGACAGCTGGCTGTTGTTGTCTCTGCCCAGTATTGAACCAATACGGGACGCGATTTATTCCGTATTGCTATAAATGTCTGATAGACACACCTATCATACACATCTCAACAATAAGTGTAATAATAATGACCAAAACAAAGCACGGGAAATATTAAGGTCAGCTAAATTGTTGCGGGACCTAAATAGGGCCCCATCCTCTACCCCGACGAACTGACGCTGTTGTCACGGTTGCTTAGAGACGGACACTATGCAGCCACGGTGAACTGCTATCAACCTGCGTCTTTTTAAAATGTCCACCTGATACTCCCCCGTCCTTAGAAGCAAAGCCTCTGGCAAAAATACAGATGTGAGTAATAGGGTCATTTAAAAAAAATGGGTCGGCAATATTCAGTAGCGCACAGTGGGTTGTTTGGTATCAGACAGAATGGGCCAGGAGAGGAACACCGCAGACCTGTCAGAACCTATAGACACTAGAGTCCAGACCAGCCTGGGCTCAGAGCAGACATCGGGCTCTTCATCCCTCAATCATTTCCTGAGACCTAAAAATAATATAAATGGCAATTTAAAGAACAAATCATACAAATAGATTAATAGTAAATAAATAATAATACATATTGTGAAGAGAAACCGTTTATTTTTTCAACATTAAAAACATTTGTTAGGATTATGTAGGAAAAATGTTTATCTTTTATAAATACAGTGCTTTGTGGTCAATATTATTTCACCATTTTATTAATGTGGGTTGTCAGTTTGGATAAGGCTTCCTATCAAGCCATAAGAATGATAGAAAACATGCTAACAAAATACCTCAGACCTGCAGCCCATAGGCAGTGCTAGACACAGGCTAACAGAAGTGGCTCTTTGGCTCACTTATATATTAAATAAAATATTGCCCTGTTTCATTCTTTTTAAATTACTCTGTAGGCAGCAATTTATTCACACACACACACACACACACACACATATATATATATATTAGGCCCGAGCAGCGAAGCGCTGCGAAGGCCTATTGAAATTGTGCTGTAAATTATGCTTCCGTAAAATAAATTGGCTTTTTGGAGGCTTTATTATATTCAAAAATTCACCAAACTTGGCGGACACGTCGAGACTGTGAAAAATTTACGTAGTTTAAGGTCAACGCAAAAATCGCAAAAGAAACAGCTGAACGGCGCCACCAAGCAACTTTCAAAAGACCCTTTCCTATTACCTTACTTCATCGCAGAGACATGAAATTTCATACACTTGTAGAGCTCCCCAAGACACTCAGAATTTACAATTAATGTCATAGTGCAAGTATGACAGGAAGTCAGCCATTTTGGATTGAAGTTCCAATTTTGACTCCATTTTGGCCGTTTTACAGCCTTCGCATTTGATCGAACTCCTCCTAGGGATTTCGATCGATCAGCTTCAAACTCGGTCAGATCGCTCATAAGGCATGGCCGATTAAAAGTTATCGTAGGTTTGCGTTTTCGGGCTTGCTGAAGGGGTCTTTCCGGGGGTCAAAGGTCACCGATTCGCCATGAAACATCAAACTGTTATAACTCTTTGAAAAAAACTCATAGAAGCACCAAACTTTCAGTGATTGATCATCATGGGATGCTCTACAATACCCAACGGTCAAATGATGACGTCACTTAGGCCACGCCCCCTGAGAACAGGAAGTGTCATTTTTTACGCTGAACGGTCGCTATCTGACCCCTTTGAGCTAATCAAGATGAAACTGTGTCCAGAGACACAGTTTCATCTTATAATCCACATTACACCACATTACATGTTGGTGTAATGTGGATTACAACCCCATTTGTTTTCAATGGAGTAGGTCAGCGTGGCGGTGTGGCGAAGTGACCTGTAACGCCGTTGCCATACATTTGTCTGTAAATTCTATATTTGAGCGAAGCGGCACCAAACTCACTAGGATGCATCCTTATCCATCCCCGAACATGAATCCATAACAGTAAATGGGCGTGGCCTAATTTCTCTACAGCACCCCCTAGAATTTTTTAAGTGATTAGCCCCAAGCCATGCTTTAACCTAGAAATATGAAACTTGGTACATGTGTGTATCTTGTCAGGAAATACAAAAAAGTCTCTTGGAGCTGTGGTGCAAACCCAACAGGAAGTCGGCCATTTTGGATAAAACCCGCCTTTTTTTCATACACATCACATCTGATCGAACTCCTCCTACATCTTTTGAGATACAGACTTGAAACTCACTCAGCACACTCTTGAGACATTGAAGGTGAAAAGTTATCTAAAGAATTCTCGTACATCAAAGCATGTGGGCGTGGCTAAGTTTCAAAATTTGACTTTTCTCCATGAAAATTAATGTGCAATAACTTCCAAATGCCAGGTCAGAGCTGCTTCAGACTTTCCATGTCTCATTATAGACCAGCCCTGATCACATTAACATGGTGAATTGATGACATCACCTAAGCCCCACTCCCCTCCAAAAGGAAGTCACCCATTTTTTTCTGATGGATGTCTTACTTATACTCTATGATTCAAATGGGATCAATCCTGTGCCAACTGATATAAAATTACATGATGTTGAACTCTGTGAATGTTGGCTGCTGGCTGAACCATGTGGGCGTGGCTAAATAGCGAATAGCAATGCTCGCCATATGTCTACGATCGTCTCTAATTCACACATGCATCATCCGATTTGCACCAGACTTTTTATGATTGACTCTGGTGAACCTCTAAAGAGCCCAATAGCATTACATTGTAATTTGACTCCACTGCGCCCACTAGGTTAATCAAAGAGCTGTATCTCCTTGCTGCATGGCCCAAACTGCACCAGATTTTTTGTGCATCGCTGGGGAGCGCTGCCGAACGCATCAATGCATATCGCCTGGAGGACGAGCGCGGGAGCCACACGAGAGTGCTTGCGGTGGCTGGCGTGTGGCAGTGCTGGAACCCCCGTGGTGGCCAATAGGCCAGAGCGGCGCGGAGCTGTGAGGGCTGTTCGAGGCTGCTTGCAGCTTTAATTATTATTGATACTTTAATTAAAAATGAGTTGTACAAGTTTATGTCATGGGGGCGCCAATGACATGTTTGCATACACCTCAGAAAGTATGTAGTTGCGCCCCTGTACATAGATACAGCTTAACATGCACCAAAATGAAATATATACTGTATGTGAAACTGTTCAAAGTGTCACTGTAGAAATCAATGATTACCAAAAAAATACCTAAATAACTAGTGAGTCCAGAACTCCAGGAAAAATGTGTTTCTACATGTATTCAGCATGTGTACTTAGCTCAATGAATCACAATAAGGTTCAAATTATTTGTGGTGACGTTATCATTGTCTTGTTAGATCCCAACACAAAAAGCCCCCACAAATTTTACAAAGCACCAGCTTTTTTCTAAACAGCTGGTGCTGTTTAGAAAAAAAGTACCAGTAGAATAATTATTAAACCAAGTAGAATAGCATCTCATACTGCTACTGTAATGAATAATTGTTGTGGATATAGTCTTCTTATAAATGACACCATTGACCACTTGGCTGTTTTTGTAGTTTTTCCAATTTCTTTTATAAAACAGAAATTTATGAATGGAACTTATAAACACATTCAGCGTAGAACACCTGAATATGTTGCTGGAGACATTAACACAGTATATGGCAGTTTTTTAAATCAATATTAATAAGGCTTCATTGTAAAAAAAAAGTCATTTGCAAAAACCTATCCCAAGGAAACAAACAAAACAATAAATTATCATTAATTATGGCAAAACAAAATTTGTTACATTTACTAATAAGCAAATCAAAAATTATGTAAAACTCATGAGAATCCTTGATACTAAACTGTTTACAAATAAAGAGGGTACGATATCAGACTTTTTGGGAACACTTGTGTCGAAATAAAGGCTAAAATATCAATATTTTATAAAATAAAATATTTTCTAAATAAAAAAATGACTTTATATGTTATACTGTCTCTTAAAATGCAAAATAAAATAAATGTTGTGCAAAATAAAAAATAAGCTCAGCTAGTGGAGTTCATAAGTGGAATAATAGTTTTGAAAAGGTAAATTCAAGCTAAACTCTCTAAATTTAAGAAATGTATAAAACTCATTTGCTAAACAAATACCGCAAAGTTTAATTCAGATTTTTTTTATATATTTTTTTATATTTTATGAGCTTGTCTCTAGACTCAGTTTGAATTCATTAGAGATATTTTTTTAGAAAAATATAAAGGAAAGGTGCTGCTGTTTTGATTTTGGTAACGATGTGTAATAAAAAAGTGAAGGTATAAAAACCCTATGCTTCTACCTTCACCTTTTCAGTCTATACCTTGTGTTCTTGCCAGTGAAAGAAATTCAAATATTGTTTATTATCTACTTCTATATAACTCTATTTTTTTTGCTACTGCTGTTTTTGACTTGTGAATGAAAACTTTAAAAATGGCTGAAATAAAAACTTTAATTGTAATTGGTTAAGCAATAGCCACATGTGGTTTAGTTACATGCACGACTGTGCAACGGAGACCGTGCTGCCTGGATATGTTGGTGTGTCAATCCACATGACTCGGTATGCGTGTGTGTGTCTGTGTGCGCGTGTGTATGCATGTGTGCGCCAGGCTGTCTCCAGTGGAGGAGGCCCAGTGTGTGAGTGTGGAGGTGGAACGGGAAAGCAGGGGCTAGCCTCTATAAATCAAGCCAGATTACAGAGGCAGAGAGGCCTGCAGCTCCCCTCCACTAGCCAACCTTCTCTGCTTTATGTCAGCAGACACACACCCCACTAGGACTGTATAGTTCAGTAGCCTTTATTCTTGTACTTTATTCAAGCACATTACTGTAGCTCATACAGCACATTCAGTGGATACTTTTAGACAGCACAATATATGTCAGTGTTGTATAAATGATGACATTCTACCGCATGTCATCATGGAAATTTACAGAGGAGAAAATCAGTTGTGTCTGGGTTGAAGA